ACAGTCATGCAACCAGACAGAACTGTGCACAAGAGCTGATAGCCAAAGTTGCCAGCTAATTTGCATTCTGCAGCCAACTACTTTCACCCCATTTTACACTAAGAGCTAATAAAAAGTTGCAGAGTCATTAAAAAACCTTTGAAGAAATTTGTTCAGTTGCCATTTTCTGTAGTTTTGAGTGGAATTGACCACTAATAATTAACCACTATTAACCTATCCCACCCCAGGGGAGGACATCCATCACACAGTAATCTCGTGTGTGGGAAATTAACGTCTCCTACCCCAACCCTGCAGGAGACGGGACCTCCATTTATTCGTCCCTATCCGAGAAGACTAGAATATCTAACCATTTCTTGATGTTATAGAAAGGCAGCAAATTCTTCTCAATTATTTTAAGACCCTGAGTGTTGGTCCGGCCGGGGCTCGAACCCTCGACCTCCCGCACAACAGTCCAGCGCTCTATCCATTGAGCTAACCGGGAGGCGGTTAGTAGTCTTAGCATCTGTCACACTTGGGGCACTGTTAATATATATTATAAACAACAAGGGTCCCAGGATAGACCCCTGGGGCACACCGGATGAAATAGGTAGTAAAGGAGATGCTCGGCCATCTATAACTGTCATATGCAAACGATCTGTCAGATTTTATGAGTAAGAAGTTTTAATAAGTCCAAAAAAGATCTTTTTTCATCTTTTTCTTTTTTTTTTTTTTGATGTTGTGAAAATAAATTGTTTAAGGGGATTGCGTAAAGTCTTCGTCTTAGAAACCAATTACCATTACCACTTAGAAAGGAACACCGAACTGAGTAATATATCTGTTTCCGGGCCTGATTTCGCACGATGAAGCAAGCGTTAGATTCGTTTCTTTATTTTATCTGGAGAGATTAGAAGAAATAGAAAGCATGTGCACCCGTCTGCAGTCCACCGCACAAAGACTAACAAGAAAAGGGCCAGCAATATTATTGCGAATGTTCAGTCACGCCTAGTCGCGCGATTAAAATTAGTCTACAAAGGAAAAATGAGAAAATATGTTGAAATAACGGTTGCCGCGGAAACGACTCATTCTTGTTTGTCTTTCGATTTTAGTGCCTCCGCGACCACGTAATTTTTAATTTTTTTTCCTTTTTTTTTGCCGATGTCTTTTCACTCGCTCAACACGATACTAAAGAAAACCATCATGAAAGCAAACGTGTGTAAAGCTGGACGCCGGTTGACGTGAGCCAATCTGGAAAAGCCGCTCGGTCCTGCACTCGCACAGCTTTTTCGACGCCTTTTCCAAATTCTAACGGCGGGCCTTTCAACCTCGTTCCCTGGGCGCTTTTCCGCCCGTCCTCTCAACGAGAGGAGGTTGCGCGGCTTTAGCAGACTGGTGTGTGCTTTTCATTTTCATACCGCTGGCTGAGAGGTTATGAAGCATAGAAAGACAGGATGAAAACTTTAAGAGGAGGTCATCATCCTCATCATCATCATCATAAACTTTTTTTCATCTCGAATTTTAGAGTAGCTTGTTGGAGCTAATATCTTCGAGAAAATATAAAAAGGAGATTATCCATATATATTCATACATATATCTGTACAAGATCTAAAATACTAACTCTACTAAAATATACTAAAATACACAGTATTTAGAAATAGAATTATGTAACATATCAGTAGAAATTAACAGAAAAGTGAAGATAAGCGGGAGTGACTATACAAAGATACGGCCTTGGATTATCTATCTTAAGTCTTTAAATGAACTCATGCGGATATAGTCAGGCAGTGTATTCCATAGCTTAGCTGAGAAGTATGAAAATGAATTAAGGCCATAACTAGAGGTATTTATCTAAGCAGGCCTATCTTTTGTTGAAATAACAAAATGGCCAAAACGCACAAACCATAGGGCACCAGCAAGCGGGCACCAGATTAATAGACACCTAAAGCGGCTAATTGCCAGGATGCCTTGCCATTTGGAACGAGACTCGTGCGATATCGTTCGTTCGATGGTATTGAGTCATGTGAAATTTTAAAGGTGTAAAACTCCCCGCAGTGGGTGATGACTTCTCCTTTATGTATGGTTAGATGTTGACAGTTCTGATACATGCGCATGCCAGCCATCAGTCCTCGTAAGTTTTGACAAAGATGGCCGACAGCTATCGAAACTGTCACATTTTAGCGTGCAAAAAAAACTACCGGCAGCAGGGAAAGAAATTATATAAAAGCGTTTGAGCTAACTCCAGCCTAATAACATTCTGCAGAACTTCAGCTATCTAGCTATCTAGCTGAATTTCCTGAAAAATAGCTTTAGCTATAACGGTGCGGTTATATGGAATAGCTTGTCCCCTGAATTGCGGCAAGCAAAATCACTTCAATCCTTCCGAAATGGTTGTCGCAATTTCTTCCTCTGAATCGACAAAACACACACGGCATCTATGTAAAGCAGAATTTCTTTATTTTTTTCTATTTTACTTTTAAATTTTAGATCATGTTTATATAGATTAAAATAGATTGTAACTGTAATAATAGATTGTAATAATATTATTATTTTATCTGATAGATTTACCGTGTCTAAATAAAAATAAAGTTCAAGTTCAAGTTCAAGTTCAAGTTCAAGTACATATTTGCCGGTATAACCATAATGTACAGCCCGCTTGCAGAAACCTATCAATTTGGGAGAGATGCTTACAATAGTGGGCGTAAGCCCACACCTCAATCGCGTGTATAGGTGAAAAATGACATTATTGGCTGTTAAACAGCAGTGTAAGCCCTTGCAGTGAGCAGCCGTAGTGTTAATTGCACGGTAAAATTATCTTAAATTACGATTCTAAAGAGGGCCGGTCAAGCACTATGTCTTTACATGCATTGCTGCATTCTGCGTTGCCTGGCAGTGCCTTGGGACAGACATGAACTCGTCAAGATATACTGCGAATGATAACATGAGAGGGCTGGGATAGAGTGTGGTTGTTTTCCGTGGTTGTTTGAAAAACTAAGATATTCAAATGAAAGATCAACTAAATTTGAGAGTCTTAAGCAAGAATAGAAGTATTTAGAGGAGGAAAATGGCTAAATGACAGCTCTTCAAATATCCCCTGAAATAGAGTTTGTATGGATTGGGTAGAGAGACNGATCAGTAGCATGTAATTATTTGCACTCATCAAGAGGGTAACTTGAATTAAAACAGCAACAACATCTGTTCTATCTTTTTTTCTTTGTTTCCTTCAGACTTTATTTTTACCTGCTTCTTCCGGTTCTTCTTCCGGTTTGAAAGCCTCG